ACATGAAACCAGTTTGCAGGGACTAGATGAATAGTGTTGTTAAATATTTAACTTAAATACCCACATGTGTAAAAACTAGTGGGTAACAGAAATTTGAATACCCAGATAGAATTACTGATACCCAATGATTTTAAAATGCATGCGTAAAATACCCACAACACCAACAGCTTATCTGGAGCTCTGCAATGGCAAGACAAATGTTCACCTGAAACAATACGCTAGCATGAAACAAGTCAAAAGACAAAATTGCTTTGAAAGGTTTGTGAATGGATCACTGAAAATCAGAAATGACACCAGGGCCCACTTGCACAAAGCGATCTTAGCACTAAGACTATTGCAAGCCTATGTTAAAGTATGGGAGTTATGATCATCTTAGCGCTAAGATCGCTTTGTGCAAGTGGGTCCAGGTGTTCGCGATGCTGAAGTAGCAGCAATTCCTTTTAATAGATAAGAGCATATACAGGTGACCGAGGCTGCGATATGTTGGCATGTGAATGTCTCATTTGTGCTGAAATACCAACACGAAACATTACTGTCCTGGGCGAATGAGGAAGTTTTATCTTATAATGGGTAGGTCTCTCGGCAGCATAAAGCCAACGGATAAACACGATATCCGTCGGGGTCATATGCGGATAGCGATGCAAACATCAAAGGTCATGAAGGAACTACTTTCAGTGTTTACAAACAAAGTTTTAACATTGCGTCGCCCTTGTCATTCGGCGATCGAGTCAGAATTAACCATTGGGAATCTGGAGAAACTATTATTATCATAAAAATAGTCTAGTCTGTACTGTAAATAAGCGTCTAACTGTGACGTAGCTAAGGCATTTTACAAGTTTGGGCAACTTTTGAGATATAATTGCGAAACAATTTAGCGAGGACACCAAGATTTGCGGGATTATTTTCCGTATCTGTGCTTGTAGTAGGGAGGTCAGGCACGGCAGCCATCTTGTTTTTTAAAAGAAATTAATCAAGTTTCATCACATTTCAGCTTCATTGACAGAAATAAGAAGAAGATACATGCTTATGAAGAATGTCTTAATAAAACATTATGCCTATTCTTGTGTTGTTCTCTTTGTTATTTCACCATGAATAGAATGTTTATTCAAGTATGCAGCTTCTTTTGATTACCGGGTATGTCAGCTTTTTGCCAAAATGGCACCATCCAATCTTCGTACCCTTGACGTTCAGGGTAAAAGTAAAAGGTGTGCCTGGATTCACATGACAACAATATTTATATCACATGACAGATGGAAGAGTCTATTTTACGACTATGACCTCGTTCTGGAGATCGTGGCGGGAAATTTAAACAACAAAATCATTCAAAGGTAAGTTTACTCAAATTTTCTGAGAAAGTCTTAAAATGGCGGGAAAACGAATAACTACTACACATTTCAAAAATATCTAGTTTCAAAATTTCATAAATAAAAAACATAAAAATGCTAAGCACACCTACTATTTTTCAAACAAAGTTCCATCGTTTTTCACATCTAGCAGCCGACATGACAGCCGACTCGCAATCGGACAAGTTTATTGTGGACGGGGACAAAGCTTATGATGGAAGTGTCCCCACGGACAATGTAACAGGTAATCCCCTTTAAAAACTTATATTAAGTAGAATGTTGTTAATTCTTACTAATACGCTTCCATTTTAATATATGAATGAATGTTCTTTGATGGGGAACAAATATTAAGATTATAGAATTTCTTGCTCTCCCCTATCTGTAATATTGAATTCGCCCAAGTGTTTACCTTGCTGTCGCCTTCTGTCGTAAATCATGACAATCAACACATTCCAGACTTCCTGTGTTCATTCACATTCCTAAAATTTTCTTCACAACACCACTGCCATCGAAATGTTATATTAGGAACATTTTCTGTTTACATTGTATCCTAATTAGACCCAATTTCCATCACAGCGGTGCAGACAGTTCAGTCGCTGACCGAGTGGGCTTGGTCCGCTGTGGGGGTGTCAAGGGAGAAAGTGCAGGACTTGCTGACACGCCCTGACTTAACGGGTACGACTATCTCGCTTGTAGACATTTTAATTTGTAAAGAAAATCAACATACATTTATCGTTGTGATAACAACATGTAAAATTTTATTTTTATGTACAATGAGATTTTCATAGCAGCACATATACCCGTATCAGAATGGACTGATCCACGTTTCATACTACGACTGTTTACAACTTTATTAAAGAAGGCATTTTGTGTGGCTTTTAATGTCTGCTTACCATCTTCAAATATTTAAACGATAGCTCTCTTAAATGAGATCATGTCAACAAGATTCTGCAATTTGCCAGTGAACTGTCGACTGAACTGCTGTCATAGAAACATGAAAACTATTCTCAATTTCACTTCCGGTTTGCTTCGTGTCCGGCCGTCGTAGTCTTACTACATTAGCCTTAGATGAGATTTTTTCGAAGATTTGCTTTGATCTGACAACTTAAATGATAAGTGGCTGAAAACTTGTTAGTTCATAGTATTTACTGTGCAATTGGAAGAAAATGTTGACAATGTATTTTTATATCTACAAATAAAAGAAATGACCCCGCGAAAGGGGTAATGGTCAAAATATACTGAACAACAAAAGCTCCTGTGACATTGAATAAGATTTAATGCAAAGTTACGTTTTTATCAAATCTGAAACAATTTTTTAAATTAAATTTAATTGAACTGAATTAAAAATTATATGAAGAGTCATTACCAAAATTCCCATTAGATTCTAGATGATTTAATTATGTACATCCATATTCACCAAACATTTATAAATCTTATCAGAGGCCATACAACAGATAGTCTCTTATTTATTACAAGTATTTGATTATCATCACTTTGATCTGTGCAGATTTAACATTACATTTATTAAACTGTTTGAAAAATGTTGAATGGTCCTAGTGTGTGACAGTGTGTGATAATATTTTGACTTTGTGTATAAAAACTTATCCTATCTCACTAGTCATTATGTATCCAACAGTTGGATGGAGTGGCGCAGAAACCCAAGCCTGTAAAAGACCTATGAAATATTAATGTGATTAGGTCAGGCAAATATACTTTTCCCAAGAATATACTATTTTATCATTACTAATGCTTGAATAGCTTCTTTTTATCTGCCTTGATGCTGAAATGGATATAAGTTCAAATGGTTCCAAATATCTGTTTCAGATGACTGGTCACTGGAGGAGATCAGCCAACCTGTCTTCCGCTCATTGGGATTCTGGATGCTGGTTTGCCAGGTGATAGAAGACAGCCAGCACTTCACATTTAATACAAATTTGACATGTGTATTTGAAAATCTTTTGCAGTCATGCAAGTGTGTACGGACTTTCCTCAGGAAACTCCGTAACAAGTGTTGCTATTTTTCCAAACGTGATTGGAACTATGAATCTTTAATGTATCCAATTGTTTCTTTACCTGCTGATGAGTTCCCTCAAATTTTGAGAGAAATTGGTATATCTGAACAATGGCTTGAAAACCCTTTGCCTATTGATGTTAATCAAAACTCTGTAAACAAAGCTATTGTTTGTGCTCTTCGCACATACAAGATTCGGAAAAAATGTTTGTTATCATAAATGCTCTTTGTGGATTAAATACATTTACAAGTTGGACAGAAAACCTAATCCTCATACACTGAGGTCTCAATGGGATTTTATTCACAAAAAGAAACAAAACTTAAGTTGCCAAAGAGAGCAGCAAGAAATATTTCTGGGATCTAAATATGATCCTGTTGTAGCTTGTCCTGTGTCTTCTGCCTCTGAATCCATGCTTGGTTCCAAAACAAATTCTAATGTGAGGCAATCAGAATCAATGAGAACTCAAAATGATAAGCTTTTAGTTGAAAATGAAACTCTCAAGAATCATATTCAGTCTATTACCTACAAAAAGAAGAATGTATCATTACAGCTTTATGAGTGTGAAAAGAAAGTAAAATATCTTGAATCACAGCAGCAGAACACTATTGAGAAGATCAAATCTTTTTCAGACAGAAATGTTAATAAACGAATAAAGAGGAAACAAAAGAAAATTACAAGTTTATTATCTGAAAATAGTCAACAAAAACTGAAGCTAGCATCTATGATGTTAAAATGCAGAAAAATCCAAAACCGTTATCAACGACTTCGTTCATTAAAGACCTACTATCAAAACAAATCCATTGCTCAGAATTCACAGGTTGACAAATGTAACAATAAAAGTGAAATACTAGAAAGTAAAGTGAAGGAATTGGAGTTGCAAAATGCTGAGTTAAATATGTTGATTGGAAGTCTACAACCAGAAATTGAAACATTTAAAAATGGCAGTTATACAGATGAGGTGAGAATTGTGTGCTATGAACTGTTGAATCATGGTGTTGGTTCCAAACACATCCCAAAAATAATACAGACAGTCTTAAAAAAACTTGCAAATATATCTGTTGAGTTAGAAGATTTGCCTAAAGCTACATTGCTGAAATATATGTCAACTAAGGCTGGAATCATAGCTAAGACCATAGCTGCAGTTAATATTAAAAATGCTAATGTTTGCACATTACAGACTGATGGTACCACAAAAAAACACAATAAATATGTAAACTTTATTTCTACAACTAACACAGGGCAAACGTTACAGGATCATCACAGTAGAGACGCTAAATCTCAGGTGGAAGGATTAGAGCTTATGTTAGAGGAACTAGCTTCATGCATAGATGATAATGAAGAAAAGGATCCCTTTGAAGGAAAAGAAAATATCATTCATGACTTTTTGGTGAAGTTTATGAACACAATGACAGACAGACATGTAGTCAATAAAAAATGTGTCAAAATCATTGAACAATGGCGTTCCAGAATATTACCTAAATATGTTTCAAACTGGAAATCACTGTCGACAGAAAAACAGAAGGAATTGATTCAAATTAATGATTTTTATTGTGGATTTCATTTCATATTGGGTCTCCAAGATAACTTTGAGACTAACATTAAAGAATGGGAAAAGGTAGAATCTAATGGAAATTGGAAGGGAAGAAGGACTGAACTGGCACAGAAAAGGTAGTGCTACCCTTGAATTTATTAGATCAACTTGTACTGCATTTGGTAAGGATGCCTGTGAAAAAAGTGGGAAACCAAAAGAATTCTTTGAATTCATTGAAAAGCCAGTTCTGTTAGATTCATTCAGACACAATAGATTTAATGTACCATTTGTAAATGCTTCATATGCATATTACCACTTACAGGATATGCTTAATTTCATTAGCACCTTAGGCCCTGATAAAAACAAACTAATGAAAGCCATTGAATTAGATGCTAAAGATAAACTAATTATTGCTGGTGTCCGGGCTATGGGAATTCTGGAAAGACAAATTACGACGCCACTGATGAAGCTAATGGTTAAAAAAAATATTACTGCAATAGATGTCTCATACTATTATACTATCCTTCACAGTTTAATAAAAACATGGTCAAGTGATCCCTCCGAATTACTGGATGGAAGTTCATGTTTATTTAACAATATTCAACCTGTTAAAGATTATGTTTATGACAGTTTGTACATGAATGTTGAGGAAGATATTCAATCTCTAACTTATCAAGCTCTCTCTGTGGGCTGCATAAGTTTTCTTGTCGTAACTGAGCGTATGCTCAAAGACCATTTACCTGGTGGCAGATTTCATTGTCCTTCAGCAATTATCATTCAGGAAACTTCAGGTGTTCCAAAACATAACATTGCAACTGAAAGATTATTTTCAGGCCTTGATCGTTTAATACATAAAATGCCAAATGCAAACACAATTGGAATTGAGGGAATTTTACTTTGGTCACTGAATAAAAGTGTGGACTATCTTGACTCATTGTCACCTGCAGAGAGAGAAAGATTAATTGGAAAAGCCAGGTCAGCTGCACCAGCAATGCTTGTTAAATACAGAGAAAGAAAGAGACTTATTAAACAAAAAAGAAAAGAAAAAGTAAACGAGAGAGCAGAGAAACAAGCTGCTAAGGAAAATCAAGCAATACATAATAGACTGTCTATCATCCATAAAGTAAACAATTTGTATGGTGGACCAATCAGTTTAGTCTCTTCTTTGGATAGACTTTTAAATGGATTAACCGAATTAAGACAGTTGTCAATTCTGAAAGATTTAATTAAATATGAAAAACTTATAAACTATCAAAAATGTTTCATTAAGCTTTATCAATTTCAGAAAGACAATAAGAAGTTTTCTAGTATAGAGCTACGTACAAATTTAGAAATTATTCTGAAAGCTAGAATTGGACTTTCAGTAAATGTGTCTAATGTAAGTACTAGTACTTGTACTACTGGTCCACCTGTTTTACAAGGAGAAAAAAGAAAACAACCGCCATCAAATGAAACTTCAACTGAAACCTCAACAAAGAAAACAAAATTACAAACTTATTCATACTGTTATTCATTTAAAGAAGGGGATTATGTTTGTGTTGCATACAATGAAGGGTGGTTTGTTGGTGTTGTCCTCAATATTTGTTCTCAAAATAATTCTGAAAAAGCAAATGTCAAATTTATGAGATGGAAAGGAAGCAGTCTTGTTTGGCCACAACCAGAATATGTTGAAATTGTTGAAAATAAATATGTTTTTTATTCTGGACTTGATATCTGCACTTTGAACGGAAGGTTATACTTCATTAGTGGGGAAAATAACTACCAAAAACTTGATACATTGTATGAAAATTATAGTGATGAATTTTTCACATGATATGTTTCTTGTTTCAGTGACCCAATCCTGACCCAATGTCTTTCGTTGTCGGAGCCCTCCCTGCATTCATACCGGTAACTCAAGGGATGAGTCTACTGTGTGTTCAGTTTAGATATCAGCTAAAATTATCTAAATTGGAAACATGGTATGCTCTTCTCTTACAACAAATAACTGTTGTCGAATAACATTTCCCTTATCCTTTTTACGGACCCAAGCTTGAATATTTATTTGGCAAGATTAATCATATATCCTCCATGCTAGATTTATAAAGATTGATAAAGACAATGCCTCATGTGAACTAATTCCATGATGTGCGAAGCACTCAAGCTCATGTGAGGCACTGCCTTCATCAGCTGACTAACGTCAACAAAAACAACTTATTTTCTGATATAATGTTTTTTTGTTGTGGGGCATATGCCTCAAAACTTAAGGAATTAAGTTCCTTATCAGACATCAAACTTGTGAACTGGTTCCCCATGTCCTGAATGATATATAAGCAAGGGTTGATTTTAGCTTGTTAACTACTATTTGTATTATTAAGCACTCTTGGACATCACTTTGCACATGTGATTATTTATGTTACAATCATGAATACATTCTATGTGTTGGTGTAAACTGTTTAGTCATTGCTCTGCTTTTGTAGCTATATCAATGAATTATATATCTCTAGTGATTCAATACTGAACAACAGCGTTAAAAATGTGAAAACTGTGATGAGAGAGTATGGCGATGAACACATGACAATGAAAATGTGAATAAAACCAATCAAAACTGCATATCTGCATTGTGTTTTTTGTACTTCAAGAAGAGAGAAAATCTCATTACTTGCAGCATATCTTGCTGTATCCACACATGGAGCATTGAAAGATGTACATGCCTTCCAAATTTCATAAAGATATCTTCGTTTTTAAAAAAGTTATGTTCATTTTTGTGCATGTCATTGAAGGAACTCCGATCATCGCTTGGTGCCACATCTATATTCAGATGAAAAATGATAAAGTCACATTTTTGTGATGATTTTTTTCAATGATAAAGAAGGATTTAATTGTTTTTAACTTTATATTTTGTTAATATATATTATTCTTGAATCACATTAAGAATCTTAAAATGATAGTTAATTGTCAATGCATTTCTAAGACCATACAAAGTGTGGTCATTTTGGCTATTTTTGCCCTTATAAATGGCTATTTTGCATTTTTTAAATTGTAATTATTAAATGTTATGATACAATCATGGAGCTGATGATATATGGTTTGGTTGAGATTTTTATTTTGAGATGAATGATATATTAAAAACAGGAAAATGCCTTTTCAATTTGTTTTCCCGGCCCCTTTTAATCCTGAAATATATGCATACTCAATGGCGGCCATTTTGGAAAACAAAATGGCCGCTTTTTACACCCCTTAAAACAGCCATATCTCAAAAAGTTTTTGACATAAATTAAAATGGTAAAGTGTTTTTTATTCATTTTAACATGAACTAAAAGTTGATGTATAAACCTGAATTAAATTATGTATGAACAAAATTAGCCTGACCTCCCTACTTGTAGACCTCTGCAGCTTAGAAACTCTTCACCATATTAAGACAGCTGGAATTGGCCGAAATATGTCGGAATTGTTATCTTGTTTCGTTTTGTCGCACTGCGTTACTGCACTTCGTAACGTTATGACAGGACAGGCAGACTGAACAAACGTGAAGTCTCAAAGACTCGGGTTAGAGTAGCTTCCCTTTGATATAAAGGGCAGTTACTCTAGCGGACGGACCGATGTATTGCGGCGAAATGCAAAGAGAAACAATTTGTGTAGACAGTTGTTGTTTTGCTAGATTTAGTTATGCCACTGTAGAAGAGACATGTTTCAGTTGGAACTATACTGACTGTTGTCACTGTCCGACTGGGGGCGGTCGGGTAGCCTAGTGGTTAAAGCGTTCGCTCGTCACGCCGAAGACCCGGGTTCGATTCCCGACATGGGTCCAATGTGTGAAGCCCATTTCTGGTGTCTCCCGCCGTGATATTGCTGGAATAAAAAAGCGGCGTAAAACCAAACTCACTCACTCATTCACTGTCCGACTGACACATCACTTACCCTCCGACGTAATATATGTTAATGCGCACCATCCAGGAAAATTTGCAAAGTTTAGGTACTGTTTGTGAGAGATAGGAAGGGATTTTCGAGCACAGTTGAAGAATGACATTATATGATAAAAAGGCTTTCACGCTTGTGTATTTGGGGATGGTAAATATCCTGATTTGGGAATAACACGTTGTATTTAGCTCGCTAAGGCTCGTAAAATTCAATGTTTATTCCTAATACATCATATTTACCACCCCAAACACACTCGCGTGATAACCTCTATGTATTCTGCCTCTGTGTCTTTGTATGGTGTCTTCCAGAGGATGCAGAAAAAATAGTTTGATTTTTATTAGCCCACTGTAGTGTCGTATTGTAAATATATGTCAGCAACACAAATGCCAACATGAGAGCTTTGGACGAGCATAATAATTACTTCATATTTCTAATATATAATATATAAGTGTAGGATAAAATACCCCCGTGGGTGAGGGTTTTAAACATCATCATAATCCGAGGGGAAGTGCTTGATCTGACTTATTAACCGTCAAAAAACCCGTCTGAACCAACATTTATCAACAAAATTTCCTGTTTTTAAACATACTTTCAACAAACCTTTGGAAACGGGCGTAAAATATATCTTGATGGTGTCCATGTACTTGCTTTATGGATTCTCAAAAATAATGCGATTTATCAGCGATGCAGTATATCCCAAATGCGTAGATCGATGCTCATGATGTCTTTCACTTTCCTGGTAAACTGCTTTGGTGTAATTAGACCTTTTATTTGCTATTAGTTGGTTTTCAAAATCCTTGACCTAAAATTCATTGTAGGTGGTCGAAAAAAAATCACCTTCCAGATTGGTCCTGCTACTTATGAATGAACAATCAAACAAGCTTTACAGAAAGATAATTTATATTTTTTTTCTTTGTTCGAATAAAGCTTTGTATACGTATTATTCACCATTTCTTACGAATAGGGGTGATTTCTATTTCATTTACTTGTCGGCCCATAACGTAATTGCCAAAAGTCACTTTTTTTCATAATTGTCGGTAGGCCTTGTAAACCAACTAAAAAAGTTGAAATGCTCCGAAGCCACGTTAATACCGTAACAAAGGTAATCTTCCAGAATACAAACTTCTGAGTTGAGTCCACGGTACATAGAGATATCAGTTGAATGCTGTCTTGATCCTGAATTATGGAGTGTATTATACCGTTATTCTATAACTACAAATACCTGGACCAATTCACTACCATAGATTTATTTGAACCCGGGTCGAAAGGCATGCCCTAAAAATAGCCGTCCAATCAAATTACTCACATCAGCGAGATATAGTCTATGCTAAGTTAGTTGTTACCGTAGCGAATGGATCCGGGATATTTATACGAATAGAATTGAGATGTAATACCCAAGCATATCGAGGATGTTCCAAACTGTAATCGATTGGAAAGCAAGGTCCTGATTTAACAAGGGTCCAGACTAACGGGGTTCACTTTATTTCAATTAAGGCATTTGTCACATGTTCCATTTTTAAACATCTGTACAAGATAGTTTGCTTTGGAAACAAAACTATTTTAACAACTATTGCATTTGATTGAGGCAGGTTGTTACACACACATTAACATCACTGCTTTCAACAATAACTTATATTCTTATAACAAACAAAATAATTTTTCTTTCAACTCACCATGTTCGTGCCTTAGGGTATGAACGATATTACATGTGGTTTAGCTACTTTAACCCCCTCACTGCTGTCTGTGTCATGAGACAGCAGCGGGATTAAAGTGTCATGTCTTCGTAATGTACAATGCAATCAAAGTGTCTAAAACCATTTCTCAGGGGCCTTGAAATAAATGAGGGGGCACGGGTGGCCCAGTCGTCTAAGGCGCCGCGATTCGTTGTGCAGAGTTGCGTCCCTCGGGCACGCCAGAAACCTATGATGGTGGGTTCGAACCCCGGTTCGCCCCGATTACGTTTCTAGGTTGGTCAGCACCTTACCAGTGCTCGTGGGTTTCACCGAAGTGGTAAACGTCTGAGACCTGCATCACTTCGGGCTTTCCTCCCACATTAAGCTAACAGGCCACTCACTCACTCACTCACTGAAATAAATGGCACAGTAAAAGTATTGTCTCAAACACAAGATCATTGGTCTGTCTGTCTGTGTCTGAACACCTGGTGTCATCACTGATTTTCAGTCGACCATTCATATGATTTTCGCCCAATTGGGGTCTGTTTCAGCGGATAATCGAGACTTGTTATTCTCTGGCGTTGACGTTTTATGCTGAAGTGTATGAACATGACGTCAGGGGGAAAAAGGTCGTTTATTTCTAGATATGTTGTTATTAGGTGATGGATGAAGTGAAAAATTTGATTTCACCATTCACCTGATGTACAGTGGACGTAAAACGAAAGGAGAAATGGAGTTTACCAGCCTCATCCGCTGTCCAGTATTTGCATAAAACAATAAGTTGTGAACCAGACCTGTGTTATCCTCGATTGTCTGCCACCTATTACTGCGCCTGACTTGGTGAGTTATTTGGATCTAATGCCTCTTTGATCAGTATTTCTGTTATATCACGGGCTGTCAGATTGGTTAGGGAGGAAATCTTGAAGTGACGCAGGTCTCAGACGTTAAACTCTTTGGTGAAACCCATGAGCGCGGAAATGGTGCTAGAACCCAGAAACATAATCAAGGCGAACCGGGATTCGAGCCTATTATTACGTAATTCTGATATTTATGAAGTTATCACCCAATAAGATAAACTGTGCTGTCTGTGTTATTTTCCATTAAGATATTCTCATGTCAATCGTATCATTACAGTTATCAACCAACAGGAAACCCATAAAGATCCGGGAATCCAGAAACCCATGCTTGTCGTAAGATTTTTTGTTACTTGTTAAACGCCCAACTCAGCAATATTCCAGCTATATGACGGCGGCCTGTCAATAATCAAATGTGGCCCATACAATCCAGTGATTGACACTATGAGCATCGATCCAAGCAAATGGGATACGGTGACATGCATCAATCAGGACAGCGAGCCACCCGATCCCGTTAGTCGCCTCTTACGACATAGTGAGGTGTGTTGGGGTGCTTGTATTGAGGTGTATGTTGAGGTGTTAAATGGCACTACAGGGTGTGGTGTTGTGTATGGTGAGGTGTTAAATGGCACTACAGGGTGTGGTGTTGTGTATGGTGAGGTGTTTAATGGCACTACGGGTGTGGTGTTGTGTATGGTGACATGCATCAATCAGGACAGCGAGCCACCCGATCCCGTTAGTCGCCTCTTACGACATAGTGAGGTGTGTTGGGGTGCTTGTATTGAGGTGTATGTTGAGGTGTTAAATGGCACTACAGGGTGTGGTGTTGTGTATGGTGAGGTGTTAAATGGCACTACAGGGTGTGGTGTTGTGTATGGTGAGGTGTTTAATGGCACTACGGGGTGTGGTGTTGTGTATGGTGAGGTGTTTAATGGCACCACAGGGTGTTGCGTTGTGTATGGTGAGGTGTTTAATGGCACTACAGGGTGTGGTGTTGTGTATGGTGAGGTGTTTAATGGCACTACGGGGTGTGGTGTTGTGTATGGTGAGGTGTTTAATGGCACTACAGGGTGTGGTTTTGTGTATGGTGAGGTGTTTAATGGCACTACGGGGTGTGGTGTTGTGTATGGTGAGGTGTTTAATGGCACTACAGGGTGTGGTGTTGTGTATGGTGAGGTGTTTAATGGCACTACGGGGTGTGGTGTTGTGTATGGTGAGGTGTTTAATTGCCCTACGGGGTGTGGCGTTGTGTATGGTGAGGTGTTTAATGGCACTACGGGGTGTGGTGTTGTGTATGGTGAGGTGTTTAATGGCACTACAGGGTGTGGTGTTGTGTATGGTGAGGTGTTTAATGGTACTACAGGGTGTGGTGTTGTGTATGGTGAGGTGTTTAATGGCTTTACGGGGTGTGGTGTTGTGTATGGTGAGGTGTTTAATGGCACTACAGGGTGTGGTGTTGTGTATGGTGAGGTGTTTAATGGCACTACAGGGTGTGGCGTTGTGTATGGTGAGGTGTTTAATGGCACTACGGGGTGTGGCGTTGTGTATGGTGAGGTGTTTAATGGCACTACGGGGTGTGGCGTTGTGTATGGTGAGGTGTCAGTGTACAAGCAGTGGGGATATGTACACACATGAGAAACATTCCTCCGATCTCAGATCACATGTCCACCTACATCAGCTGTATGCATTGCGCCTGTAGAAGGACATATCGTCTCGTCGCCGCACATGTTCGACATAATAGTGTTCAACATCCTTGATAGTGCTGTACTTCTGTACATTGTGGTCATCTTCATTCTTTTACTATGATGACCTATTTGCTACAATGGCTTCAAACAAACACATATTCTTGTGTTCAAATTAGTGAGCGGCAAGTGCTTCCAGTAGAGCAGGGGCGGTCGGGTAGCCTAGTGGTTAAAGCGTTCGCTCGTCACGCCGAAGACCCGGGTTAGATTGCTGGAATATTACTAAAAGCGGCGTAAAACCATTCTCACTCACTCACTCCAGTAGAGCAGGACATTCCTACTCTTTTCGTTAACACCCGGTGTCATCAGTGACTTCAGTGATCATTTCATGACACCTTTTTCTTGAACACCCGGTGTCATCAGTGACTTCAGTGATCATTTCACGTTACCCTTTTCGTGAACACCCGGTGTCACCACTGCTTTGTCTTTTGCGCCCAGTGGAATCGGTTTCGGCGGATGACCGAGACTTCTTGTACTTTGGCGGTAGCGTGTTATATTCTCTTTTAGACCGATTGGAAGGGCGGGATTATGCAAATAGACGTACGGTCAAAACACTCTCATATACAAGAGAAAGTCTGCAAGTTACTGATAAGATAAGGTAGTGATAATAGTGAAGATGTGTTATAATGCCCTGGGTAACCGAGGATGAGTGTTTACTGGAATACATGTAGTGCATTAATTCCCTGCGTTAATTTGATCATAATACTGGGTTTCTTGGTTCCGTGGAGTACATGCGGTCCGTTAACAAACCAGGAATGGGTTTTTCCAACCAGGATGGTACATTTGTGTTCAGAAGGTCACCATAAGTTTTAAAAGGGAGGTAACCCAACTGTTCATACAAAGGGAAACAGTTCTGGTCTATTTGCATGACACTATCGAGACTGAGGTCATGTCTCCATCTGTTAGCTGTCTCAGTGGAGTTCTTCCTAGTTGTACACAGTGGGCAGCTGTCTGGGAAACCAGCTTCGGTGATGTTATACACATAATTGGCTATATTTGGCGTCAGCTTAAGATCCAAAAAGTCATATATTAATTGAGTCATATATGTGGGATTCTCGATCAGCTTTTCGTACAGCAGTATACCGACTCTACCGGGGTAACGTTTTGACAGTCTAACAGCGTCTCTGACATCTCTCAGCACCAACCCACAATGGGAGAAAGATACTTTTACGTGATGTTGTACCACATCGAATTTTCTCCAGCTGAGCTGGGCGAGGCGAATCCTGGACATGAGAGTCGCTCTGGGGTCTCTGATCAAGAGAATCACCTTCAGATCCTTGTTGAGGTGTAAGAGTTCTTCCGTTGCCTCCATCTTCACTCGGATGGTTTTGATTAAAGATATTTCTGATCCTCTACATTTATCGATCAATGTGTTGAGGCACTTTGATTCGAAATCGCGTATCGTTGTGTTATGGATGCATTGATTGTATTTAACCGTGGTTTTGCTCTTATCCATGTGGTGCTGGTGTAGGGTCTGGAGGTCCACAGACGTAAGGGAACACGAGAGGATGGCCTTTAAGATGTCCACTTTGGTTGCGTACTCTGACTTCGAGGACAGTAGGCTGAAACAGGCAAACACAGGTTAAGGGCCAACAATTTGAGATCAACTCTCTGGCTATACAGGGGCCAGGAATCCATTCATCTCATCAGTCTTTCGAGATATACAGGTAATATGTATCTACCAACTTGACAGTGTATCGAGATATACAGGTGATATGTATCTACCAACTTGACAGTGTATCGAGATATACAGGTGATATGTATCTACCAACTTGACAGTGTATCGAGATATACAGGTGATATGTATCCATCACCCTGACAGTGTATCGAGATATACAGGTGATATGTATCTACCACCTTGACAGTGTATCGAGATATACAGGTGATATGTATCTACCACCTTGACAGTGTATCGAGATACACAGGTGATATGTATCTACCAACTTGACAGTGTATCGAGATAAACAGGTGATATGTATCCACCAACTTGACAGTGTATCGAGATATACAGGTGATATGTATCTACCAACTTGACAGTGTATCGAGATATACAGGTGATATGTATCTACCAACTTGACAGTGTATCGAGATATACAGGTGATATGTATCTACCAACTTGACAGTGTATCGAGATATACAGGTGATATGTATCCACCACCTTGACAGTGTATCGAGATATACAGGTGATATGTATCTACCAACTTGACAGTGTATCGAGATATACAGGTGCTACGTATCCATCACCCTGACAGTGTATCGAGATATACAGGTGATAGGTATCTATCACCCTGACAGTGTATCGAGATATACAGGTGCTACGTATCCATCACCCTGACAGTGTATCGAGATATACAGGTGATAGGTATCCATCACCCTGACAGTGTATCGAGATATACAGGTGATATGTATCCATCACCTTGACAGTATCGAGATATACAGGTGATATGTATCTACCACTTTGACAGTGTATCGAGATATACAGGTGATATGTATCCACCACCTTGACAGTGTATCGAGATATACAGGTAATATGTATCCATCACCCTGACAGTGTATCGAGATAAACAGGTGATATGTATCCACCAACTTGACAGTGTATCGAGATATACAGGTGATATGTATCTACCAACTTGACAGTGTATCGAGATATACAGGTGATATGTATCTACCAACTTGACAGTGTATCGAGATATACAGGTGATATGTATCTACGAACTTGACAGCGTATCGAGATATACAGGTGATATGTATCCACCACCTTGACAGTGTATCGAGATATACAGGTGATATGTATCTACCAACTTGACAGTGTATCGAGATATACAGGTGCTACGTATCCATCACCCTGACAGTATCGAGATACACAGGTGATATGTATCCACCACATTGACAGTGTATCGAGATATACAGGTGATAGGTATCCATCGCCTTGACAGTATCGAGATATACAGGTGATAGGTATCCATCACCTTGACAGTGTATCGAGATATACAGGTGATACGTATCTCCCACGTTGACAGTGTATCGAGATATACAGTCGAAATGTATCCATCACCTTGACAGTGTATCGAGATATACAGATGATATGTATCTACCACCTTGACAGTGTATCGAGATATACAGGTGATATGTATCCACCACCTTGACAGTGTATCGAGATATACAGGTGATATGTATCTACCACCTTGACAGAGTATCGAGATAACCAGGGGATATGTATCCACCACCTTGACAGTGTATCGAGATATACAAGTGATATGTATCCACCACCTTGACAGTGTATCGAGATATACAGGTGATATGTATCTACCACGTTGACAGTGTATCGAGATATACAGTCGATATGTATCCATCACCTTGACAGTGTATCGAGATATACAGGTGATATGTATCTACCACCTTGACAGTGTATCGAGATATACAGGTGATATGTATCCACCACATTGACAGTGTATCGAGATATACAGGTGATATGTATCTACCACCTTGACAGTATCGAGATATACAGGTGATATGTATCCATCACCTTGACAGTATCGAGATATACAGGTGATATGTATCCACCACATTGACAGTGTATCGAGATATACAGGTGATAGGTATCCATCGCCTTGACAGTATCGAGATATACAGGTAATATGTATCCATCACCTTGACAGTATCGAGATACACAGGTGATATGTATCTACCACCTTGACGGTATCGAGATATACAGGTGATAGGTATTCCATCACCTTGACAGTATCGAGATACACAGGTGATATGTATCTACCACCTTGACAGTATCGAGATATACAGGTGATAGGTATCCACCACCTTGACAGTATCGAGATATACAGGTGATAGGTATCCACCACATTGACAGTGTATCGAGATATACAGGTGATAGGTATCCATCGCCTTGACAGTATCGAGATATACAGGTAATATGTATCCATCACCTTGACAGTATCGAGATACACAGGTGATATGTATCTACCACCTTGACGGTATCGAGATATACAGGTGATAGGTATTCCATCACCTTGACAGTATCGAGATACACAGGTGATATGTATCTACCACCTTGACAGTATCGAGATATACAGGTGATAGGTATCCACCACCTTGACAGTATCGAGATATACAGGTGATAGGTATCCACCACCTTGACAGTATCGAGATATACAGGTGATAGGTATCCATCACCTTGACAGTATCGAGCCACACAGGTGATATGTATCTACCACCTTGACAGTATCGAGATATACAGGTGATAGGTATCCACCACATTGACATTGTATCGAGATATACAGGTGATAGGTATCCATCACTTTGACAGTGTATCGAGATATACAGGTAATAGGTATCTACCACCTTGACAGTATCGAGATATACAGGTGATAGTTATCCACCACATTGACAGTGTATCGAGATATACAGGTGATATGTATCCATCGCATTGACAGTATCGAGATATACAGGTGCTACGTATCCATCACCCTGACAGTGTTTCGAGATATACAGGTGTTATGTATCCATCACCTTGACAGTGTATCGAGATATACAGGTGATATGTATCCATCACCCTGACAGTGTATCGAGATATACAGGTGATATGTATCCATCACCCTGACAGTGTATCGAGATATACAGGTGATAGGTATCCATCACCCTGACAGTGTATCGAGATATACAGGTGATAGGTATCCATCACCCTGACAGTGTATCGAGATATACAGGTGCTAGACATTCACTCACCGCGACGGTCTATCAAGATATACAGGTGCTAGACATTCACTCACCGCGACGGTCTATCAAGATATACAGGTGCTAGACATTCACTCACCGCGACGGTCTATCAAGATATACTGGTGCCAGGTATGCTCTCCTGATGTTCTCAACAGAGAACAGTGGTTCAAACACGTAGAACACGTCTGGATGTTGCTGTACAATGTCCGCAGTTAATGTTGATCCACTGCGCATGTACGACAGAATTAGGACCTTCCTTGGCTGGGTCTGCGTCACTTCCGCCTCGATAGCTGTGCAACAATAACTTGCGTTCAATATTATTATACTTACATAGCGACGTGCATGTGTGCGTGTGTGTGTGTGTGTGTGTGTGTGTGTGTGTGTGTGTGCGTGCGTGCGTGATCAGTTCGCTTTGATTTGCTTTCGAACCTTAAAGACTATTAACTCACTCACTAATGCTAATCACTGATTAGGGGCGGTCGGGTAGCCTAGTGGTTAAAGCGTTCGCTCGTCACGCCCAAGACCCGGGTTCGATTCCAGACATGGGTACAATGTGTGAAGCCCATTTCTGGTGTCCCCCGCCGTGATATTGCTGGAGTATTGCTAAAAGCGGCGTAAAACCGTACTCACTCACTCACTAATCACTGATTAACATAACTAGTGTGAGTGAGTTGTACGTCTCTTTGATCAGTAGTTCAGTTATGTCTTCAGCCTGAGGTGTAATCTCATTAAAATCAGATCTTAGACGGTCTGTAAACAATCGAATCTGGAGCAGACAAAGTGTGATCGACATCATGAGCACCGATCTACGCAATTGGGACCCGATGACATGCCTGAGCCATGTCAGCGAGCCTGACCCACCGATCCTGTTAGTCGCTTCTTACGACAAAAGCATGGGTTGGTCAAGACCAATTCTAACCGGATCTTCCCGGGTCTATTAGCATTGAAACTGGTACTTACATTGCGAGTGGTGATGATATGTGTTGGTGATGAGAAACATCCAAAGAGACACCATAGTCAACACACCCAACACCAAGAGGCAGCACAGAAATGACCGTCTGTTTATAAGCCGCCATTTTGAGTATGCTGAAAATATACAATATACTACTCAAGTTTTGATAAGGATATGTCTATTTCATATGATACACAAACTCATTACTCAAAGTTCGGAAGCTATTGGCCCAGAAAGGATTCCATTTCTCAATATCCCGATCAAAAATTGATAATTGTTTTAGCTTTTAAAAGCTGACTCCTGTCGCCTTAAAGGCCACGGTTGTTTTTTATCCTGGACTTTCCATCTGCAAGATACGAAGGTGAGTTCTTTCAGCTCGTTCTGTCCAGGTTTCTTCAGCCCGATCTGACACAACAGTTTTGATCAGAAGAAATACGGCACTAGACAAAGACGTTCATATAATCTTGGTGTTTTCAACTGATTACTGATTGTTCCTGCACTTCCCAGTACATGCACAGGACATGAGTGAGTGAGTGAGTTGGGATTAACGCCGCTTTTAACACTATTCCAGTTATATCACGGCGTGTCAGCTTAATGTGGGAGGAAAGCCCGAAGTGATGCAGGTCTCAGACGTTTACCATTTCGGTGAAACCCACGAGCACGGGTATGGTGCTTACAAACCTAGAAACATTATCGGGGAGAACCGGGATTCGAACCCACAATCATAGGTTTCTGGCGTGCCAAAGGGACGCAACTCTGCACAGCGAATCGCGGCGCCTTAGACGACTGGACCACCCGTTCCCCCTGTTTTAAACTGATTATTCATTGTTCCCTTCAGGTCCCAGTATATACACAGGACATGACTTCAATGTCCGTCAGGCTGATACGGGTGATGCCCACTCATGCTCATCATTTCACAACAAGACGGTGTGTGAGTGAGTTCGGTTTTACGCCGCTTTTAGTAATATTACAGCACTATCCCAGCCGTAGACACCAGAGATGTGTTTGAAAACATGTACTCATGTGGAGGATCAAACCCGGGTCTTCGGTGAGGACATAGACCCCAAACCAGACGGAGAATCGACTTTTGTGCCGGACAAGTCCTTTATACATGTATCTGTGCATCAGCTTGTGTCATCGGATTTGTAGACTAACTTGCATCCCAAGAAAGTTGGTTCAGGCCTATACAAGTCCCGAATGGAGACTAACTGCAATATATTCTGATGAAGATGCTTAGATTTGAAGAACTTGTACCGCTCGACATGATCGATATAAAAAGATATATACTAAATGTGAAATAGATACTGATGTATATCACACCACATAGACAGTATCAGAGTGATTCAGTATTCCAGTTACAGGGCGTGTCAGCTTGATGTGGGAGGAAAGCCCGAAGTGATGCAGGTCTCACACATTATCCACTTCGGTGAAACCCACGAGCACAGGTATGAAGCTGACAAACCTAGGGCGAACCGGGATTCGAACCATAATCATAGCTTTAACGCGTACCTTAGGGCCTCAACTCTGCACAGCAAATGTGGCGTCTTAGACCTATGTTTTCCTTTTGGCGCTTTACGGGCAAGCTGATAATGTGTCCGGAGTCACGTGTCGAAATACTTGCTACATCTGTTCACTTAATTCCGTTGAGTGAGCGAATGTCTAATAAACTGCCAGTGTTTGATATTCTTGTTAACGAAGCGTTCATTATTTAAGACGGAATAATAAGCTGAGGTGTGCTTTGTAGTCCAGTGGATAAATCGTTATCTTGCAGCATCTAAAATCTGGGTTCGAATTTTCATTGTCGATTGTACATGTGCCCCAAAGAAATAATTCTAATGAAGCAATTGTCTGTTATTTTTCTGTTGCATCGAAACATCAGAATTTCCAAAAGAAAACAATCATTCCCCCCACTAGTATCCCGTTCATATTCTTTATCCTGTCAGTTGGAGATACATCTTTTACTCAAAGTATAGTACAATATATAATTAGCATTATATAAATATGCATAGAACAATCTAAGACATTGTATACATACATTGTACGCTTAAATTAACATCAGAATGAAGGGTTTTAGCACTGATTCATGTGTTTAGAGGTAAATTTACATAAATGTTTAGTGCTGTTGTTGGACAATAGTCTTGCAAATTTATGGGTCCCCGTTACCTCAGGCCCTGCTTACGTTGATAAGGTTTTATAAGGTAACATAGCCCGCGTCACTCTACCCACCGGGATGAATAGTCAGTGATGATGTTTTGTGATGAGATGGTGACAACTTTATTTGGAATTAAAATACATTTGTGAGGTCACTTTACTGTTTCACGAACCATTATTTTGCACGGATGGACAGTTGGTTGTCCATTATGCATACAAAAACTATCGTGAACCCATATTGCACTTAATATACACTTGGAACGTTAACTTTTTTAAATATTTATCGAAGAAAATTATTTTATCTTTGTGTATAACCTACATTATATGATTTGATGACCTGGAATAGTCTGGAATTAATGACTAAATATTGCCAACATTCTATAATCACCAGAGGCTAAGAAATTCATGTGTAATTTTTCTTATGTTTGTTTTTTGACGCCGCACTCAGCAATATTCCAGCTGTATGACGGCGGTCTGTAAATAAACGAGTCTGGACCAGACAACCCAGTGATGGATATCATGAGCATCGATCCACAAAATAAGGATACGATGACATGCATCAACCAAATCATCGAGCCTGACCACCCGATCCCGTTAGTACCCTCTTACGACAAGCATAGTCGCCTCTTAAGGCAAGCATGGGTGGCTGGAGACTTCTTCTACCCCGGATCCTCGCGGGTCTTATGCAATGTTAATGATGCGAAAATGCAATAAAAGATAATGAAAGCCGGGAGAAATACATAACCTCCGTGTTGTCTCCGTCAGGATCATCTCGAAGCGTACAATGGATACATCACTCTTTTACCATGCTCTATTAACATCACCTCACGACGTGATCCAGCAGGGAACACATTGACGCGTGCATCACGTGGTGACAATTCACGCGGTGTAAATGTATGTAGACTAACAGACACGGTTCAGCGGCTCTGACACGGCTCACTGACACGGATTTGGCGCCCTCGGTACCAGGCAAACAGAACTAGCTAGAACATATAACTGTTTATCCATTTAATTACCGTAGTCAATGTTTAATAAATGTTAAGATAAAATATTTGAATTTAAAATGGGCATATTGACAGCATGATGGACATAAAGGGCAGATTGTGTGGCTGAAGTATGCGTGATATCACAAATGACGCGCGTGTCAAAGAATGTTTTTTAGCCCTCGGGGGAATGCGATTGTAATGAGCACGATTTAGATGTCACATGTGTCCCACTGCTTCCGGTTCAAATATAAATAAATACATGTCATGAGATGGGTCTGATTGTACGACGGATACACATGGAAACAAACTTTGGCATACCGATACCGGAAAATGAAACAATTACGTCGAAATATGCTTGTAATTGATTTATTGATATAAGGAGCACCGAGTTTGAGTTTAATGTGTGGAAACCCCGTACCGTAATATGGCTGAATGTGGCTTTATTACCACTCACTCACTCACTCACTCACTCACTCAAACACTCAACCACTCACTCAACCACCCACTCACTCACTCACTCACTCACTCAACCACCCACTCAACCACCCACTCACTCACTCACTCACTCACTCACTCACCCACTCACTCAACAACTCACTCAACAACTCACTCAACCACTCAACCACTCAACCACTCAACCACCCACTCAACCACCCACTCACTCACTCACTCACTCACTCACTCACTCACTCACTCACTCACTCACTCACTCACTCACTCACTCAGTCACTCACTCACTCACTCACTGAACCACCCACTCACTCACTCACTCACTCACTCATATAACAGGAACGGATCACATTAAACAGTTTGTACAATTTACGTGGATACAAGGACACCATCACTGAGACACGTTCAAGATAACCTGACGTTTCAGGTCAAGATAACCCTTACAAAGGTTACCTGTGATTAGAAAGTGTAATCCCAAACATAACATATGTCATATGTCATAGCTTTGTCAGGTAATTACGGAATGGAACAGGTGACGCAAGTAACCTAGCGGATATCTCCATGCCACAGAAGGCATGTTGGCGAAGATACTCAGACTACTTTAAACTACGTTTATAACGAACACGCTATAACAAACTGACCGATATAACGAACTTATTTTTAGTCCCGGCCATTTGTTGTATATATGCTTATAACGAACTACGGTTATTACGAACTAAAATTAGTGGTCCATTTGAGTTCGTTATAACCGTAGTTTACTGTCCTTTAAACTAGCGAGTTTAAGTGAGAAATTAAGAAATAACGACACTCATCTCCGTTGGATAATGTTTTTTATTATGAGTGTATTTCCAAACGTATCTAACAAGCATTTTGAAATACACCAGTTGAAACAGAAACGGGCCTAATGGGGACGAGTGTGGTCATTTATTTATTACTCACTTAAACTTTGCACATTATCTAAATTCAAGGTTGGAAAAAGACGTTGTTGGTATAAGGGTTGTATTCGAACACAACATTCGTTGGCTCTCAGTCTCACATGAACAATTGTGTTGGTAAGGTACTAATCTTCTATTCTCAATTCACTGAGTACTCTCACCGGAACTTCTCCAACTAGCCTAAATCGAGTGAAATGCCAGCCAGGTTTCAACTCCAGGAAACACCCGGCCACGTGACATTGTTTCCAGCGAACTAACGTTAAGAAAGAAACACGATTGTTTTATTATCAACATGAAGCCATTGTTACGAACTTAATGTCCTGATGTATTTGATAGATGTACTACTAGTGTTGCTGTTGCTCTTACTACTACTGCTGTTACTTTTTTGGCTACTACTACTACTACTACTACTACTACTACTACTACTACTACTACTACTACTACTACAACTGCAGCTGCTACCACAATAACTGCTATTGCTGCAAGTAATACAACTACTGCTACAAGTACACGTATAGTGACTGCTACTTCTACTACTGCTACTAATATAAGTACAGAAAAAAACTTTTTTCATTTACATTTGCTTGCGTTACCATGTACAGGCCAGCTGAT